CGTTCAATTGACCAGACATACTCCCCTATATCTGGACGACATGGGCAAGCAACGGTCCGGATCTACTGACACAACGTCCAATTATTTACGAAATTCCGGGTATATGTTTATAAGACAACCGCATACTCAAACTCGAACCGAACTCCCTGCTTTCTGAGCCTCTGCTATATCATTTTGTTTACCAGGCCCCAGGCGAGGCTATTAGGGGTGTCATAGGCAAGCAGGTATGTATCACTTCAATGAAACACCATAAACATGCCACCTTGGTAACACAATGAATACCAAGAATTGGACAATTGGGGGTTACTAAAACAAGAAGTGCCGAATGCTCATGATGTAGTGCAGAAACCTTGCGATACGTCGCTCTCACCGAAATATATCATATCTCACTTTAATCCGAAATCGAGTGGACAATAGGACTTGATTTTCGGTGGTAAACGAGGACATGGGCAGCTACATACATGACATCGTTGATTTTTTCATCGTTACGAATTCGCCTTCGATAAAGGTCAAGTGACCCGCCTACTATGTAAAAGCACACGTTGTGAAAAGGGGAAAGACCGAACTGAGAGTCACGACCTTCCCGTTGCGGCTTCCTACATCTCTACCTTCTTATCCAGCCAGTACAACAAAAACAACATACCGGGCAGGGTTCGGATCAGGGGGAGAGCAGATGCGGCTCTTTTCGTTTTGAGTGTCAAGCGCATGTTGAGTATATTATTCGAGCGGCTATCCGCGCCTCTTGCCGCCAGTCCATTGCCGAGGCGCCGCCATACCATGTCGCTATGCATGTGGAAGCGAAGTTGCCTCACTCTTGATCTCCTCTCGTGTGTAGGTAGGTGATCATGAGATCACAGAGCTGGGGTTGTTGCCGTCGGTATCTGAGCTACTTGAATGAGGAGCATGGAGCTATTACTATGTAACTTGAAGGATCATAAACGCAGAATCACGAAACGCCTAGGAATACTGCAAGATGAGCTGTGATGCATTGCACGCGTCAATTTGCACGCTAGAAAACGAGGAGGCTAATTCGCGCTGCGGCTGTATGTGTCACAGGAGGTTGGAAGCTATTACATGGGAATGAGGGAGTGTCCAAAGTAAACTGATGATGACCACGAAAAGTGGAGCGAGGGAGAGAAATAGCAACGGTGAAAGACGAAAAGAAAATCCATCAAAATGGAAAATGTCAGCATATCGGGTCCGAGATGTGTGAACAATGAGCAAAACCAATCTGACTCTTTCAAAGCCCACAACCGTTGTAGCCGTCAACATCAGGAAATCATCACCAAAAAAAGGTTCACATACAATATTGTTTGCTCCATTCATTCCTTTCCCAAAGACCTACCAAGCACAAGAACAACACAAGTCTCGACTACTACGGCAAAAAGGAAAAAGGTTACACGGGTGACATAACAATAACCTCGGAACTGAGCAATTGTGTCTGGTCCGCATATTTATATTTTCCTCTTCAAGTTTTGCCTTCTGCCTCCCTTATTCGTTTGTTTCTCTCAGCTTCAATCCACTCGATGCAACTGGGTTGGTTCACACTGAAGCCACATAGAAAAAAAGGAAAAAATGGAGAGAAAGAAGGCGAGAGAGAGGGGGTTTGGAAATGAGGCAGGAGCGGAATAAGTTTGTTTTGTCACTTTTTTTATGACGCCGGCGCAGGGCACTGCAGCGATCTCTGACCGTGAAATTGCAACGCGGGCTGCGAGTAGGGAAAGAGGCGAAAAGGAAACCGAATAACAAAAGCTCCGGGAATCAAAAGCCTCAGTCCCTTAAGATCTAGACTATACATCACTGCAAAATGTATGTCTACTTCATCAGGTAGACACATTGCAGTGGGCCAGAACTCAAACAACACCATTCCTTGCTGGTTACACGACATCAACTGCCCCGCGTCGTTCTCGTTATCTCTTACTGTGTAGGTACATATGAGTAGCCGTCCTACCAATAGGTCTCCCAGCAACAGCAGCATCAGTAATATCCACTAGCTACATCGTCCTACATGAGCTATCATGTCGTCTCGCGTGTTCCGGGGGGGGGGGGGGGGGGGG